CAAGGACCTGCTGTCAGCCAACTATTTTTTTATCTATAACTATGTATTTAATCAAACATCTTTCCACCCCCACCTACAATGGACATTTTCGTATACTGGAGGCTGCAGCTAAGAACTTTGTTGTTGATGTTCAGGGCGAGCCGAACATCAAGCATATGGCTTTTGGGGTCCCGGTTTAGCTGGCCCAACCCCCTCGACGAGGTCACCCCCCTTGCCCACCCTTTGGTTCAGCTCCAGTGAGTTCCGAGATCTCTCCCTGTGACACACAAACATTTTTGATGCCAGATCCGCCAGCATCTGTGTTTACTTTTATCTTCAGTTTTCTGCGTGGGTGTGCTGTTATGTTTCTTGATGATGGGGAATTCAGGGATTTTGTATGGTTTAAGTGCTGACCCAAAATAGGAGGGTGTATATGACGCCTGTCTGATCTACCATAATATCCCCACAACCGAAGCTATCTAACGATTGATAATCAATCAACCAATTCATCAATCAAAAAAAAAAAACATTTCATGCTATTTCATAACATACCAGAAGAACCTCTCTGACGATGACTGTAATACGTCCCCACATTTGAATGAGTTTATATTCAATCAATACTTGCAAGTTAACAAAATCTCAGTCAATGCATTTGAACGTCCAACCATGAATAGTCTGATGGCACTTTCTCCTCACAGTCCTTGTGCCATCTCTTATTTAGCTCACCACCCCCTAAAAATGTTCCCCTTAGCACACTGAAACATCTTTTAAAGCATTAAATGCAGCTCAAGAGGTGAGGAGTGTTCTGGAAGAGAAAAGTTGCACTCCACATGAAAGTGCTGTATAACTCCTGCAGCTCTTAGCGCATCATAAATGTTATAAAAACAATCACTTATCCAGAAAAAAAATGTTTCTGCAAGCTTTCCCTTGCATTTACAGTTTGTAATCCTTTTCTCTTGTTTTGTCTCACAGCCCACGTCTTGGCATCAGTTCATGATCAATGATAGTTTGCTATCTGCATAAATTGTTGTGAGAAATGGAGTTATTGTTTTGCAACTGTCAAGATCGTTTCGAGATATGTACCAAAGCGACTGGGAAAAACTGTAAAAGACCTGATTTTCCCTTCAATTAGTCTCAGTGGGTAGAACTGTCAGGAAAAAGACAATTGTGTGAGCATAAACAAAATGTATAATATATAAGTTAAGGTCAAAAGAGGTCGGAACAATTTTTTTTCATAAATTTGATGCTTTGTGAAAAATTTGGGGGAAGCCATGTTCTTTTCCAACTCACCAGTGCACAACATAAATTTCATCCAGACATCTTTGAATGAGTTTGTCTTTGAAGGATTTTTACAAGACTGAATAATAACTTACATGTCATGCTAATAGGTTCTACCAAAATATATTCATTCAACTATTTTTGAAGATGTAATCTATTCAGAGAAAAGTGCAGGGATTTTTCTCATATTTTGACTAACTAATTATATTTGTTGACGCAGACTTTATGTATATGAAGCCCTTGCCTCCCATCGGATTTTTCAAAAGTACCTATCAAGCGTCCGGTGAGTGCATGAAAGAATGATGCGATTCCCTGCTGTTGTTTCCTTCAAATAGAATACTTTGGTAGCTTTGCTGGAATTTGGGTCACTTATAAACCTCAAGCATTCACTGCTGAATATGAATATCAAAACAAGCCCAAGCCACATCCCCCAAACATTTGTGCAACAGAATCCATTTCTGTTTGTATGCGTGGTATTTTTTCACAGTGGAGAGATACTGCATACCTTGCCTCTAAATCTGGCTCAGCTGGAGTTATTGTGAAAAAAAAAAATGTCGCTAGCCCACTCAAAATGCCACTGTTGGAAAATCCAGATGCAAAATCAGATGTTTTGAAGACCCTTCTTTAATGTCTTTCAAGACAAATATATTAGAAACATCTCTCTTTAGTAAATAGAACAGGTAGGCAGATATTTCCAACTTTTCCTATTAGATTTTTAGATTATCCATGTGTACATCATAAAGTTAGTGGAATTGTGGACAGCCACGATCACACCAAGATAATTGGTGATGCTTCCTCCTTGAAATCGTTGCGCATTTGTGATGTGCTGCAACAGAGAAAAACACCGGTCACGTTCGGCACAGCCAGAACTGATCCCTCCTCGTCTGACATCAATCCAAAGAATAGAACGATGAAGAGGCTCAGAAATCTTGGGAAACAAAAATATGAGCCCCATAGTAGTAACAGACAGACGGGGAAAGGCAAAAGCATTGAAGTCTTTCAAAAGATGCATGTCGTGCATTTTTTTTCCTTAAATTTAAAACAGTTCCTTTGTGTCTTATTCAAAGGTCCTTCACATTCTCTGTCAAAGATAAAATGAAAACACTCTATATACACCCTATTATTTGTCTTCTAATGAGGCTGTTTTGAGGTGGTGTCCCTGTCGTGGATGTTTGGAACTGTTATTTCTGCCCCTATATACTGCTGCGTCAATGCAGAATATGGATTGTTGCAATGTTGACGACTAGGGGGCGGAGCCAGGGGACTGCAATTGTAGTTTAACAGTATCCAACACGATGATGATCTGGACTATAAAGGGCAATTAAAATATGCTGTACGTAATTCATTATAGCCTGTGAGGGGCTGTCATGAGTGAAAATTATTTCAGCAGTGCGCGGAAGAGAGCTTCACTTGTGTGTATACATAAGGATTTCACATGTGAGTATAAGAGGCCTTTCAGCCTTTTTCGGTTTAGCAAACTAAAATGTGCCTCTTCAAAGTAGTTCATCTCACGAAAGTCTGTCTGTCTCAGTCGTCTGCATGAGTGTTTCATTAGCGTGTGTGATAGTGTTTCAGTAGTGTGTATGAAAGTGTTTTAGTGTGTTTAAGGAATTCCTAGACAAGGCCCAGAGGCCATGCAGCCTCGTCAGGGAAAAAGTATCCACAATGGAATTTCTTCTCTACAGTTCTTATAATGTTTATAGGTGAGGGTGTATTCAAATAGAATCCAAATACACTGAACTTTTGTTTGAGTATTTAATGCAGTTTGAATGATGTTGAGCTCAGTGTGGCAAATAAATACCAATAATGAATATACTGTAAATGTGTGCTAAAGTAGGCAAAGCAAGCGCTGTGACACACCCATGTAATCTTAATGGGGCACCGAGAGATTCTTTTCTCGAGTGTATGTGCATCTGAATCCCCTGCAGGGTACCCTTGAACACCTTTTACATTTAATTAATTTCCTCTCTCTTTTAATAAACGATATAATCCCCAAAGTAGTTCTAAATTCTTTAAAATGCCGCATGATTCATAAGCCAATTGCTGTGTAATTGGAGAGCTTTTTGCTTTGTCAGCAGAACCCACAAGTTGGCAAGTTCATCCCAGAAGTCAAAACAACTTTTAAAAGTGCGATGTGCGGCAATAGCGTATACACAGACCTGGAAGGTCTAGTGCGCCCTGGAGTCATTCTTCTTGTACACTGAGAAGATCATCCAATTCCACAATTCAGCACACTATAGGATACTGATTAAAACTAAAACATGTTGCAGTGTGGAGAGAACATGCAAAATAGCCATCATCAAAACATGGTTGAAATGTACAGGAAACCGGCAACATGTAAATGAGTAACAAAACCAGAATTTTTTTAAGTGGTGAGACGTGTTGTCATGCTTAACAAAGCTATTGGGAGACAGCTCGACTTTGCTCTATATACATTAAATATGATTTAGCTTACTTTACATGATTTAGGGTGAATGTTATTCTCTAAACATCCCTTATTGGCACTGTTTCTTATTTTGGACGAAGCATTTCAAAAAAAGGGCGACCCGGGGGTCGACTGGTTACCGCATCGACCTCACAGTGCAGAGGTCATGGGTTCTGGCGTTCCTGTGTGGAGTTTGCATGTTCTCCCCGTGCCTGCGTGGGTTTTCTCCGGGTACTCCCACATTGCAAAAACATGCATGGCAGGCTGATTGACCACTCTAAATTGTCCCTAGGTGTGAGTGTGAGTGTAAGCGAGGATGATTGGTCATCTCTGTGTGCCCTGCGATTGGCCAGCAACCGGTTCAGGGTGTCCCCCGCCGACTGCTCGAAGACAGCTGGGATAGGCTCCAGCACGCCCCGCGACCCTTGTGAGGATAAAGTGGTTCCAAAAATGGATGGATCGTACCAAAAAAAGCCACAACAGGTCAAAGAATAATCCTTTGATACTTGCTGAACTGAACTGAACTGAGATCTCATTAGGATTTGCTGACATTTCACATAAACCTCATAAGCTTTCTGTGACAAAGATTTGGGTTGAGTTCTAAATTGTATTAGGGAAGTAATGAAGTACTCCACCCATGCGCACAGTTACGCCACGCTTTGCACTCGACTTGCGCTGGGCACGAAAATAGTGCTCATAAAGCCACCTGTGGTTCACTGATTGAGAGCTTGAAGACTTATAAGGAACTGAACAGGGACACAGTGACAAGGAGGAACGTAAACCATGGAGTGTAAACAACAATGATGCAACAGAGAAGCAAGATATTCCCCTTTCCTGTTTGATGATGTTAGCGACCAAAATGATATGTGGCAAATGCATTTTGTCCTGTGCCAGACTAAAAAACACCCGCATCCAAAAACTATTTGTCTAAGCACCATCCAAGTTAATAAAAGAGGGAAACTTTTTTTTGCCAAGTTTTCAAAACAGTTACTGTATATTAGACAGTAGAAAAAAACTCAACTTTTTACGGAAAAACAAGTCCCCTAAGCATTTGTGCCACCTGTGATGACCTTCGGGATGTTCCATGTTTCACCGGTAAATGATTAAAAAGTAATAAAAAATGAAGATATGAGTCAGCTATTAAGAGTTCTAAAAATATTCCTACCTCACACGAACTCTTCTATGAATAACAATTGTAACCTTATTTTATTTTAATTTTTTTTACTCACTCCTGCGTGAATCACGGTACAGATATCGAAACAGTCACTTAATTGAGTCATTCCTCAGTGTCAAGGACTTCCCGATCCAGCAGCACATCCCGTCGCAGACCCTCAACAACACAATGCCACGCAATCGGCGACGGAGTGTGAATGTGCGCGCGACCCATCTCAGTGAAGTTGACTCAAGTTTGACGCGCCGGTTGCGTGCAGACGAAAAGACAACAGCTCCAAAGGCGCTATCAACTATGCAGGATATTTCTGGACCGAATTCACCGCTTTAGGCGTGATAAGACGCCCGGCGCCTCCGCTCGCATGTGTGACCATGACGGGAAGCATATTATACTCAGCCTGCATTTAGTCCGAGTGTTCTTCAATCATCCGAGGAGTTGAATACGTTTTTGGATCAGGACATAACCCGTGTACGTCCATGAGCGTTTTCGTGCGCGCGCCACGCGTCAACAAGTGGATGGAAACTTTGTCTTGATATGCTTGGAGCGAGTAGTTCTCGGTAACTGTGAAGTGTGGCGATTGGGGCAGTTAAATCGTCTATTTTTTTTTTCTGAGTTTATTGTCGGCATGAGTGAGCCAGTAGCTTTCCACATGTGTATGGCGCTTTTATTTTTCCTGAGCGCAGGAGCAGCGGTGAGAGCTCATGTTTCCATGGTCAATGTCATAAGGGGAAACATCAGAAGAGATGGTAAGAACACACTTTCATTCTTTTCTTTTTCTTTCCTTTTCTTTATTGCTTCTGGATCGTAACCGACACAGAACATGCTGACCTATGGAAAGCCATTTGAGAATTAATATGACACGCTCATGTCAATGCTGACCTTCCATCTAGCCTACATGTATGCTATTTGTCCTCACTATTAAGATAATTCACTGCACTGCACCAGCACAATGACTACTTTGCACTAGATTAGGAGAATGACTGTGTAAACTTTTTTTTTCTCCAGTACTGCCTTCCACTACAGCAGGGGTGTCAGACTCATTTTTGTCATGGGCCACGTTTTAATTACCATTTCCCTTGGAGGGCCGTTATGACTGAAACTATATAAAAAAAGTCAATAATAACGGTTTATTCAACTATTGTTTAAGTTACTGTAATGAGGTTTGCTCACAAGAAAATTCTTATCATATGTCTCTGATTTATTACATGTGAGAATTTTAGTATTTTGGTCGAGATTTTAGCAAGCATCATGGAAGTTGACGTGTTTGATTTGCCTTCGCGGGCCACATAAAATGATGTGGCGGGCCAGATCTGGCCCCCGGGCCTTGAGTTTGACACCTGTGCACTACAGGTTGACTCTGCATTCTCATAGGAAAACTGTATGTTACTAGTGAGACAAAATTACTAGTGGGCATTTTGGTGATAATAAGAAGATCAAGGAGGCTACTAGTGCATGACACTAGCAGCCTACTAGTTGGGCCTAGTAGTGTTACCATAGCAGTACAGTAAGTTATTAGCAATTTGTAATTGCATAATAATCGTAGGCCAAAATGGCACCATAAGTAGAGACACTTACTACCAGTCCACTGAATTGTCTTGCTCATGAGCACAAAGAACATATTAGTACATGGACCTTAAGCTCGATATCATGTCAAAAAAATACTCAAATGACTTTCCATGCCTACCTCACTGTTTCCTGAAGTTGCCACCAGGCAGACTTTTTATTCATTGTTTCAGTAGCTTTGCATCTTTGATCATGAAGTATTTGTTATTTCCTGTTGCTGTTGCGGTCTGGCGAATGACAATTAGCTTTTAAGGATGGCAGACGTTTGTAGCCATCTGTCAATCAGGAATAACAGTCAGTGCTTGTTGGCAATTCTAACAATTGGGATAATTGTCAGTTGTGTTATGACTTAATGGAGTTAAAAAAAAAAAAAAATTAAAAAAGGATTGGTGTGCTCCATGTGGCTCCAGCCATCAGAGACACGTTTGATTCAGTCTCATGCAGCTATGTTGCTGTCTTGAGGAAGTATAAGGTGATATCGGCAGATAAATTGACCTGTACATCAGTATAGAATTCCAGGCAGCATCATTCTGTTTACTACATAAAGAAAGAATTCATAAAAATTACGTGATTCATGAACCATCGAGGAAATTCTGTCAAATGCCCACAAAACGCTATCAATCCATCTAATTGTTAGATTGAATGAATAATTATGAGACTTAATGTAAATAGGGAATTAGGAGAATGTGTGGTAGACACACATACTGAGTGAAAATTAGGTCAAGGGGACATTTGTTTCATCAAAATAAAAAAAATAAATAAAATAAAAAAATCACTGTCACTGTCGCTTAAGTCTTCCCTTGCTGAGTTCCAGCAGGTGCACGCCAGGCTTATTTTTTATGTCATCCCCAGGCTACAGTACTCTTTATTAAATACACAGAGAGACACATAGACAGCTGCAGGGTTGCTTTGGGCAGAGAAACATGAAAATACCTCTGTTTTAAATTCGTACCTGAACCACAGCCCCGAGGCATGTTCAACCTCGTACTCCAGTGTGTTTATGAAGAAACATGGAAACATTTGGATGGCCTCTGCACTCAGTACTCTATGCTTAGTCATGCATTAGGAAAAGGCCCAAGAGCTGTGGATTTTCACATTTTCTAATTGACTTTTCTGCATAATGGCATTTCTCACAAGGGGGTAAACGGCAGCCGAAAAACTAATGCTCTCCAAAAATGTAAACGATGTAAAGATTGCGTTGTGCACTTTACTTGACACGCTGCACGTAGCGTACTATGACTGAAACAACGCAATATATCAGCTGGAAATCACACCACCTTTTTGGCGTGTCCCCTCAAGGTTTGATTAATATGAAAGTAAAACGGTGAGGAGAAAAGTACTTGCGTACCATGCGTGAGGTTTAGTGAGGAGATATACATATATATATATATATATATATATATTCAGCCCCTCCTACTTTTTAATGCACTCTTATGTTAAGCAGACTGTCACATTTATGGGGCATGTTTTTTTCTTTCTTTTTTAAAATTTTTGTTTTGTCTACAGTCGTATTAAATTTTGGAAGGTACAGTATTAAATAGGAGCTGAATAAAAGAAGAAAGAAAAGTCTCGTGGCATGTACTTGACATCATGCAAACTCCTCCATGAGTTGGGAAGTCCCTGTGATGATGCTGTCAAAGAGTCATTTGTTTTTGTCCTCAGACACAGTCAAGTCAACGTCATACGAGTCCAAGTGGACGCCTGCAGTGAATTTTGTTCAGATGTGTAATTTTAAGTGCTCAGTTATATTCCAGTAAGCGAGCAAGTAAGCAAATATGTCAGTAAGGTTTTAAATTTTTTTTCCAATTTAAAAAGTGGCATTTTTTTAATCATACTGTGATTTTTTCTTTTTTGGAAAATGATGATTCATCTTTTTGATATTTTCTTGAGCCAGGCTACACTGTAGGCTTGATCGTACTTTGTAGCTTTGCTAGTTGTAACAAAAATGTTTTTACGGTACCTTATGCTTATTAGATTGGTGATTGAGCTCTACTTTAGTGAGAGTCTTGACATGCTCAAAGCACATCTTTTTTGGGGGGGGGCTGTGGAGGGGGGGGGGAAACATTTTTGCACACTGCCCCACCCTGAAGTTCCTCTTGCTACCACGCTGAATACAAATTTAAGGCCACCAACTAAAGAGTGCGTTGCAAAATCCCAACCAGATCAACCATATGACAATATTTTTCCCGAGTTCGGTCTGTGTGTGGCCGTGGCTTTGATGAAGGTCACATGTCTTGATGTTACGTCATGAAACAAGCACCACCACTTTCTGGGACATGAACGCACAGTGCGCATTTTTTAACAATGGAATTGATTTAAATGGCCATTACAGAAGCTGTTTTGAATGTAGAAAGTCGTCACACAGTAAGTAAAAAGAATATTTTAAGAAAATGGTGCATTGATTTAAGGTGCATCAAACAAGGCAATCAAATTGAATGCTAGTCCTCGAAATCGTCATTGAATCATGAGGTGGTGAGAGAGTGACTTTGAATACCAAATCCTCTTTTCCAATATTGTATATGTTTCATTAAGGGTCCAGTTATTGTTTTCTGATTTCTGCTATTCTGCCGTCTTTCTTATCAGCTCTCCTCTCTCGGCGCTCTTATCAATCCGCACTTGACTGCATATCGCTCCATCTCTCCAGATCCTCTTCCTTCAATCTTCCCCATTCTCATTTCTTTCTTTATCATACCATCATCTTCCATCTCTTTCAGCTTTTGCCTGTCATCTCTCTGAGCTCTTATAAGGTGGCAAACAATGTCACAGACATGCATGCACAAGGCTCCCGGATAGCCCAAAGGAATCTGCACAAAGAAAATAAACAAAGAAACATCTGTGAAGGATTCGTGACATGTTCCTAAAGTGCAACACTATTTTCCCCTTTGTTCATAAATTCATTTCCTCGTAAACTGCAAGTATGCGCTTGCTGATCCTAATGACCAATGCCATGCCCAAATAAGGACAGGAGACCGCAGGGTCATGGGCATAATAAACTTAATAAGAGGTGAACACAGAAACGAGTCTGGGATGAAGTTATGTCATCAATTAAAATTGTGTCTTGGGGAGGACACACTGGTCCTGACCTTGAGTATCAACCAAAGGCTTTAACTTGCTACAAAATAACAAATGAACCGGTTGGAGTGTTGTTCTACCAGAGGGCTGACTTTTGTTGCATAGTAAGCATGTGTGGCTCCTTTAAGGGCCAAGGAGGAGAGTGAAAGAGCATTAGCTCAGGTCGAAAGGAAATGTAGCTGTGTGCATGTCGTATGGAAATGAATAACGAAGCTGGCTCCACAGACAGTAAGATGACGACACTGTGCTCCATCACGGGAGGAAAACAGTAGCGCCCACATGCACGTCTTTCTTAACTTCAGTTCTGGAGTAGCAGACTGATCTTTACGATGGTCATGAGCAGGAACGGCTCACACCTTAATGGAATAAATTAGTGCGTTATATGGCTGTAGGAAAAACAAGTCTGGACAGAAATCATTTTAACATCATTTTCATTGATCCCCGGTCATTAGACTTACACTAGAAGAGACCAAAATCACATAGTGATGATGAACCAATCGGACACTTGCACAGTTGATTTAGAGCCAATTCAAGAGCTGTGTCAAATAAATCAATGCTCAATTTTAATTGCCTCTCTCAGAGAGATATGAACTGTATCTTTATTGCTGTTGTTGTAGTTTGCAGTTGTATGGCAATATATGGCAACACCGGATCATACGGTTTTTCCTTATAGTCTGACTCTCACATTGATCAAATACATAAATATACCAAGAGTGAATTCATATTAACTTGAAAATAGACCAAAAAACTAATTGAATTTGAACACAATACTTAATTACACTGCTCATTCCAAAGTGCAAACGTGAGATGCTTATGTGTTCCATCCACACGTGCAAACATACAGCTGCAGCATGTGTGCTGTCATACTTCCTTGGCCTGATATCAGAGAGTGTGCTCTCATGGTCCTTGACTACTTCTGAGCGCTTTGATCATGCACACTTGCATGCAGAAGGACAATACAGACAGGCAGTCAGACACACCACTCACATTTCCAACAAAGTCTGAAAATATGATTGAGCAAGGGCATCCAAGCATTACAACACATCATTGACATTTGCGTTTGACAAAACTATCTCATGTGAGGATCAGTTTTGCGCCTCTGCTATTGTTT